AACAAGTGTGTCCTTGAGCATGAGGAGAGGGAAGGACGGAGAAAGCCATTTGAAGGTTCCATTTAAATAGCTAAGCGGGACACATGTAGCTGAAGTCTGTCTAGGTGATGACACAGGACTCAGGGTGATGTCATAGCCCTTCATTGACATTTGACCTAAAGTGGCTTCACATTGGAGACTAACACCCAGGTAAAAGTTAGATGAAGCATTGGTTCATACTTAGTATTTTCTCTGTCATCTGCAAGGCACAAATTCCATGAGTTATGACTAAAAAGTAAAACTCCCTTTAGTTACTCTAAATGGCACACAAGTGACAAAAATTGGAAGAGAAAAATGTGGACAGGGATAAAAAGAGATAAAGCCAGGTCAGATGAGGAGGTGGCATTTATCTAGGAAATACAGCTGCTTACTAATAGGTATCACAAGCCCTGCTGTCCCAAAGACAGCATCTTCCTGGCACGGTGTTGGTCTAGTTTGAACACATGTATCAGCCTAGAAGCTGTCACCTTATGCTGACGGCCTCACCTTTGCACATTCTCCTGGTTCCTTAGCAACTCTGTTTTAATAACCTTTGCAGGTCATATGGTGCGTAAGCATAGAGCTGGGGTTAGACTATTGCAGCTGTGATAAGACTTTTTTTCTACCTATGTTTTTCTACCTATGACTCATCTCTACCAGTACTAAGTTGCCATGTTTTGACAATTTACTTAAAGCAAAAGGCTGATAGCATGAATTCGTTGTCCGCAAAACTTTCATTGGTGTATGTAATTTTTTTTTTTTTTACCTGTGTTTGTACTTTGCCTCAGGCCCTTTCCACTAAATCTCCTTTCCTACTTCTGGTATGTACATTTCCTTGTTTATAAACCTTTCTTTAATAGTTTAAATCAGACTCTGAAAACTATGTATCTTAACCCAAATGGAGAATAGTTTGTCTTCTTCTATTCTGAATTTTTTTCTGTTTGTTATCATAAATGATCTTCTAATTTATGTAGTCTTGATTATGTTTTTGATCTCTTAAGGGTCCAAGTTTATTTAGTATTTTAGGTTTTTATAGTATGTTTATTTGTGTATGAGTAGATGTGTTTTCTGTGTAAATTATATTCTTGATTATCTAATACTTTAAAAAGCATTACTCTATATTTATTTATGTCCTTAAATTTGCTTCCAGTAGAATTGATTTTTTTTTTCTTTTCACTTTGTATCATGGCTGTAGCTCCTTCCCTCATCTCCTCCCAATCTCACCCTCCCTCTTTTTGCCCTATGCCCCTCCCCTAGTCCACTGATAGGGGAGGTCCTCCTCCCGTTCTGCCTGATACTAGCCTATTAGGTCACAGAGGAAGATAATGCAGCCAGGCCTGATGAGACCTGATCGAACTGATTTTTTTTTTTTAATGAACAGCAGGTGGCTTAATATGCTTACCATCCCATTTCAGCACTTATAACTGTGAAGTGCTAACAGCTTGACTGTTTGAGCAGCTGTCAGTGATCAATACAGAAGCTATAATCTGCAGGTAGGAAGGCTGCCTTAGGCTTTGGACCTTAAGCTTCACTGGTGATAGTTTGTAAATGTGTGAGTCAGTTTCTATAAGGATTTCCCCTTGGATCTTATGTTACACCACACTTCACTGTAATTGCAGTTCTGGCCCAACAGGCAACCATGTACATTTGTACCCAGACACACACGAACACACACATACACATATAATTTGGAACCAAACTGGAAAACATGATGAACTACGATTTGAGCACTGAATTTCTAAGACAAATTTGCATAGAGACTTATTTTTCTTAGTCTAGAACAAAGATTTTTTTTTTAAAAAAAATTTCTTGAAATAAGGAAGTAATCTTTCAGATCTTGCAAATAATATATTTCCATACTGGCTAGTATTTATTGAGTGTTATGTGCCGAGTCACATTTCATATACTGTGATGGTGTTAACTCATTTACTCTTTCAGATAACTGTGAGATATATGCTATTGTTTAATCTAGCAGCAAGCTACAGAATGGAAGGTGCAAAGAAGTCTCTGAACAGACAAGCCTGCGTGCTGGCTTTCATTGTCTGCATGCCCTATGTCTCCTAGCCTACCAATACCCACATTTATGTTTCCCTGCATATGTTCATGCAATAATCTAAGCATGACACCATTCTTGAAATGATGTCCTTTTCTTCTCTTTGCATTTTTAGAAGAGAAGGTAGGTGCATGATCACAACACAGAATCTAGAAAGGTGTAGCTCTGGTCCTCTCTCAGTCATGTGACTTAAACCAGGATGACCAACCTGGACATACCGTGATTTTTTGTTTTCATAAAGCAGGACTGGTCATCATAACACCTACGTATGGTTTTGAGAATCTGAATACTTAAGGCCTGGGTTTTCTAGCAGTGTCTCATACGAATGAGCCTTCACAAGTGTTACCCTTGTTACCATTATTTAATCTGATCAGATAAAACTGTCTCAGATTTTTTTTAATTATTTTTATTTTTATATTAATTACAGTTTATTCACTTTGCATCCTAGTTGTAGCCCCTCCCTTATTCCCTCCTAATCCCACTCTCCCTCCTTCATCTTCTCCCATGCCCCTCCCCAAGTCCACTGATAGGGGACATCCTCCTCCCCTTTCATCTGACCCTATCCTATCAGGTCTCATCAGGACTGGCTTCATTGTCTTCCTCTGCAGCCTGCTAAGGCTGCTCCCCCCCCCTCAGGGGGAGGTGATCGCAGAGCTAGCCACTGAGTTCATGTCAGAGACAGTCCCTGTTCCTCTTACTAGAGAACCCACTTGGACACTGACCTGCCACAGGGTACATCTGTGCAGGGGGTCTAGATTATCTCCACAAATGGTCCTTGGTTGGAGTATCAGTCTCAGAAAGACCCCTGTGCCCAGATTTTTTTGGTTCTGTTGCTCTTCTTTTCAAGCTCCCGTCTCCTCCAGGTCTTTCCATCTCTCCCTTCTTTCATAAGATTCCCTGCACTCTGCCCAAAGTTTGGCTATGAGTCTCAGCATCTGCTTTGATACTCTCCACGGCAGAGTCTTTCAGAGGCCCTCTGTGATAGGCTCCTATCCTGTTTCCTGTTTTCTCCCTCTTCTGATGTCCATCCCATTTGCCTTTCTGAGTAAGGCTTGAGCATCTTCTTGCGTAGCTTCTTTAGGTGTACAGGTTTTAGTATGTTTATCCTATATTATATGTCCAATATCCACTTATGAGTGAGTACATACCCTGTGTGTCTTTCTGCTTCTGGGATACCTCACTCAGGATGATCTCCATTTGCCTGCAAATTTCATGATTTCTTTGTTTTTAATATCTGAGTAGTAGTCCATTGTGTAAATGTACCACAATTTCTGTATGCATTCCTCAAAAAAGGGATATCTGGGTTGTTTCCAGGTTCTGGCTATTACGAATAAGGCTGCTATGAACATGTTTGAGCAAATGTCCTTGTTGTATTCTTGATCACCTTTTGGATATATGCCTAGGAGTGGTATAGCTGGATCTTGAGAAAGCACTATTCCTAATTGCCTGAGAAAGAGCTAGATTAATTTCCAAAGTGGTTACACAATTTTACATTTCCACCAGCAATATAGGAGGGTTCCCCTTTAACCACATTCTCTCCAGCATGTGTTGTCACTTGAGTTTTTGATCTTAGCCATTCTGATTGGTGTAAGTTGAAATCTCAGGGTCGTTTTGATTTGCATTTCCCTGACGACTAAGGACATTGAACTTTCTTTAAGTGTTTCTCTGCCATTTGATATTCCTCTATAGGGAATTCTCTGTTTAGCTCTGTACCCCAAATTTTAATTGGATTACTTGATATGTTGCTTTTTAACTTCTTGAATTCTTTATATATTCTGAATTTCTCTGTGGAGAAAAGCTTCAAAGGGTTGGGGAGAGAATAAAATGTACAGAAGACAGTAGAAGGAGAGAGATGGGGAATCATGAACATTTTGGACCAAGAACTTTAGAAGAAGAAGCTAAATTAGGTTAATAAGGTTATGTTACTTCTGCAGAGGAAGGAACTCTTTATGATCTCTGTTTTTCAGTTAGTAATAGTGGGTAAGGTCTCAGTGATATATGGATACTTTGAAAGATTTTTTCTATGTAGAAACTACCACAGTGTAGATATAAAGCCTTCAATTTCTCTTTTAGGACAAGCACCTCAACATATATTGATGCATGTCAATTTCAGATGTAGGAGCCTAAGAGAATGTTTGAGGACAGGGAAGGACTTAGGATTATCATCAGTAGGTGCCTAGCTGCTATTCTTTCATTGGGAATGTCTAGCTTTTGGACTTGAAGGAAAAGCAGAAAACATCACATCAAAGATGAAGACACAAAGGACACTGTCTCCATTGTATGTGTTCTGTTGGCCCATGAATTTAAAACTGTCTGGGTTTATACCATGACAAGTTGCTATGCAACAGTGAGTGCTGAACTTGCACTGAATGTATGTGGCAGCAAGAAGGTGGAAATCATTAAGATACTCATCCCTTACACCAGGTAAGTCTAAGAGTATACAAAATAAGATAGACTGTCACTAGGCTCTAAACTTGATGGACAGACATATGGCACAACTTATCTTGTAAACACGACATCCAGTGGAAAAGTATAACAAATAGAAAAATAGACATAACCAATAACATCTATGTATCTAAAAACACTAAAAAGAATGCTATCCATACAACATAAAGACATACAGGGCAAAAGTCATTTTCATACAGTAGATACCTCCTGGAGGTGAGGGAATAAACATGGGAGTTTATGAAGCTCAGTGCTGGGGTATGTGATGAAGTCACACTTTCTGTCATATATGAAAAAAACCAGGGGGGTGATCTGATGAAGGCACATTTGCAAATTGCAAAAATCTAAATACAAAAAAATTTATACTGCTGTCCCCGACAAATGACTGTATAGGCTTTACCCTTTATTAAGAGCGTTTGTATAAGTTATTTTTTGTTGCTATGATATAGTACCATGACCAAAAGAAAATTTGAGGAATAGACAGTTTATTTTTGCTTTTAGTTTGAGATAGTCCATAATGGAGAAGAGAGTATGGCAGCAGGAGTGGGAATCTGGCTGATCACATTTCTGTCCATATCCATAAAATAGAGAGCAAGCAAATTTGTGTGACCTTCCTAAGCAGCATCATCAACGGAGTATTAAGGAGTTTAAATGCATAAACATTTCTCATTTAAACCACCACAACTGATGACATAAATACAGAGGGAACACATCTGTTAGAACATCGATATTAATCACAATCTACTAATTAAGACTTCAGTTATATGAGTCAAAGTGATGCTAAATATGATGGGAAGAGAGAGAAGGATGGGACTATGATGGAATCATAGTGGGAACAAAAATTACTGTGTTCTGTCCCAGGTTCTAACACAGGAAGGCTTTACATGGTAGAAGTTTGAGTCCAATACTTGGGACTATAGGCATTTCGTGTTATATAGTTATCGAACAGGTATTTATTATTGACATTTATTATGACATTTATATCAATTTATTGTTTCCATTTATTCTTGTCCTTCATGATTTGTATTCTAACAACTTTGTTTTTTATTCACTCAAATGAGATTACCCTTCATTAAAATCCAACTTCAACATGTCAAAAAGGATAGTCCCAGTACATAGTGATTGGCAGAAAATATGAGCATATATATGTGTGTGTTTAAATATAAATAAATATAAATATATGTGTGTGTATGAGAGACAGAGACAGGCAGTGATTGAGAGAGACAGAGAGACAGAGCTTGTAAGAACTACAGTTTCCCATGCAGTGGCCTCTGTCAAACTTCAGTCTCTTTGTTCTTTTCAAAACTGACATTCACGGAAGTAAATCAAGCAGCCCCCTACTCCCATAAGATACCCCACTAAAGGTCTGGGTAACTAATAATTAGAATAGCATGTTTTTGTCTTAACTGCATTTAAGACAAAATTCCACTTGCTATGCATTTGTTCTAGCCGTTCCTTTTTGAACCTGTCTTGGAAAGAACAGTGGTTGTCTTCATCCTCTGTCTCTGAGATGATTTCCATCTTCTGGATGATGAGCTTGATGAGTTCATGTTGCTTCTCCAAGAGAGAAGTGAGGTCCTTCAGCCTGTAAGAATGCATATGTTTCAGGAGCTTACTGCCAATCCTTTTAACGCTCTCCCACTGCAGCAAGGACTAGGGACTAGAAATGGTCTGCACCAGATAACTGTGATCGGCTCGTTGCCTCATGCTGGCCATCCCATTGCTTAAGTTTGAGTGATTTCCCTAGGCTACAGTTCTAGTCTGTGACTAGTGCCTCTTTCCAGTTACTGATATGAAGCATTCAGGGGAAGGTTAAGCAGTCTTCCCACGAACATTGAGAATCTAAACCCAGGTAAACAGTAGAGCCCTCTTGCATATTTTCTGTCCATTAGATAGCTATTCCAGGGATTCTTCAAGTCGTTTTAGGGTTCTGTTATACGAACTGAGACGGCTCATGAAGACTACAGTCTATGATAACAAGCCCAGGCATAAGGAAATCAGCTCTGAAATCTCATTCCCTTATTCCTTGGAGGGAAAATTGGTTGGTGAATGGCAACAAATAAATTGAGTCCTAAAACATGTCTCTTGATTTTGAGTGCGTGAGCAAGGTCTGTCAATAAGGCCTAATCTCATACACAAAACAAAGACCAAGCATCCTTCTATAACTGTATCCAGTTTCTCACAGGAGGGTAGATGGAAAAGTACAAACCGGTATTTCTGTTTCAATATTTCCATTTCCAAACAAGTGTCAGTGTTTGGCACCTCCTGTCGTGTTTCTTGCGTACAAAGAAAGTAATGAAAAAATCGCTGTGGGTAAAACACAGTAGTTACTAGAACTGAATTAAAGCTGTTTGTTTTTTGAAACCGTTCTGCCTCATCACCTACCACAACTCAACCACCAACAGTATTTCACATGATCAGAAAGAAGGAGAGGAGGACCTCCCCTATCAGTGGACTTGGGGAGGGGCATGCATGTAGAAAGGGGGGGGGACTGGGAGGGGAGGAGGGAGGGGCTTATGGGGGGATACAAAATGAATAAAGTGTAATTAATAAAAGTTAAAAAAAAAGAAATTTCTGCGGTGAAACGCTAATAATTTTTTTAACTTAGCCCCATATTTTATTTCTGTCACCAGCGACAGGCCACATGGGCATGCAGATGTCAGGGATGAGTGCCCTTTAAATCGTAGCTGACTAGAGGAAGTCAGATGTGAAATGACCAAGAATGAGATAACTCTAAGGATTCTAGGCCACCAAGGAATTCAAGTGGACCAAGTATGGAAATTGAGTGAGGCAGAGGGGAGAGGAAGAGGTAAGGGGATGTTATATAAAGCCAGGATGCTGGCACACCTAGGCTGATGAGTAGTATATGAACTGCAGTGATGAATGTTAGGGAAACACTAGGACCTTCCACTGTGGGAAGGAAAGGAAGAAGTGTGGAAGAGTGAAGTCTGGCTTTGGGTGTGCTAGATTTATTTATTTATTCTTAATTACTTTATTCTTTTTATTCACTTTACATCATGGTTGTAGCCCCATCCCTCCTCCCCTCCCACTCCTATCCTACCTCCCTTCTCTTTTCCCCCTTACAGATTCCTCAGAAAAGGGGAGCTCCCAGGAGCTCCATCAGAAGACCAACAAAGCCAACTAACCAGGGCCCAGAGAGAACTGGACCTAGGTCCCCCACAAAGATGTAGCAGATGGGCAGTTTAGGCTTCATGTGGGTTCTCTAGTAAGGGAACAGGGAACTGAGTCTGACATACACTCACTTGCCAGCTTTTTGATCACTTCCCCCAGTGGGTGCATTAAATTGAAAGAAAATTTGAGACAGACAAGTGGAAACATAAAGTAGTCAGTTAAACACAGGGGCCTGGACCTCAGAAGTAAGCTTCTAGCAAGAGAAACAAGATACTGGATATTCTGGCCTTCGCTGGTGACTGCCACCTACAAAGAACTCAGGAAAAGGAGTCATAAAGATGTTGGCAGCCAGGGCATGGCAGAAATGGGATTTGGAACTTAGGACTTTTGGTATGGCTCTACTTTCCTACGGTGCACTGGCCTGGTTTGGATTTTTCATTATTTTACATGTCTCTAAAGTAGACATTCTCCTGTGTGTGTGTTCTGTATTCTGCGCTGTATATTTTCACTTAGGTACGCATATCTGAACATAAATCTACACATAAATGTATGTGTCAAGTGATTTTAAAAAAATAGAGAATGCCTACCCTGTTAGATGGCTACTAAAATGTTCAAGCAACCTTAACTACCTGCCTGGGCTTACAGGGATGTCTCTTTGGGCATGAACAGCTGTCTCCCTCCCAGAATCCTGATACAAAAGTATGTTGTGAGCATACAAAAATACAACCACTTCTTCCCACGGGCAGAGTAGATTCAAAGCCTTCTGGGGGACTGCTGAGGACAGCACAATGAATGATGTCATGTAGCATTATTTACTATGCTCTTTCTTAAGAGTACTTACTAACATCCTGCCATGCCTGGGTCTGTTTGGATATACGACCGTGGATCTCTGATCAACTTTCCGTAAGTACCAGAGTGGCAGCTTTTTTTCCAAGTTGGTATGAAGTTCCACCTGAAATGAAGGTTGGGTTTATTGATAGAATCCTTAGTTAGTATCTGAAACAATGACCAGTAGGGCAAGATAAAAATGGATTCTTGTGTCCCAATTGATACGCAGTGACCGAGGTGGCTAGCCCCCCTTTCCCTGTCACCTTCCTTAGCCAGTCACCTTGTTATCCCTCCCTCCTCTCATCCATCACTCATGAGACCAGAAAGCAGTCCACAAGTGGATTGAAACAAATGGTTGAATAATTTCATGTAAGCAAGCAGAAGTTTGGTGGTCAGGTGCTGTAGTCCACTTGGAGACACAAAGAATGAGATGGCCTCAATTTGGGGTGTTACAATACCAAGAGTCTAGCACTACTAAGAAATTTGAATGTATGATGTACCCAGGACAGGAGAGGAAGGATTGCTTAGCTGGCGAGATACAAAGTAAATACACAAATGCAGTTAAATGCATAAAACAAAAGAAGATATAACGTGAATACAAAAGCATAAAACAAAAAGAGATACAAAGTGAATACAACTGTAGTTAAATGAATGAAACAAGAGGAAGACAAACCAAAAAGAGGGAACTAGCATGCTTATGATCCTTCCATGGGTTTTTCTTATTATATTAGCAGGTGTAGACATTTCTATGACATATATTGAATATAACTATTTTGAGATACAGTATTTCTTCTCTTTAGTGTTTCTGTCTTGAGCTTGTATATAGTTTAATTGTCATGGCTTACTATTTTGGGGGACAGGACTGGATAACTAACTCAGGGCCTCATCCATGCTCAGACAGAACTCACTATCCACTACCCACCAACTTTCAACTCATCCCATTAGGCAGTTCAAACACCTCAGCAGAAGAGAAGGAATTTAAAACACTGTCTCCAGCAAGTCGTCTTTGGCTACTAGACTGTTCAAGCATTGGAGTAAATTTACATTCTGAGGAAAGGGAAAATCTGCAGACCTGTTGGCAGTGTGGGAAGCAATGTAAATGCTAGAAAGAGATTACACCTGGTTTTAACATGTAAGACCAGTTTTCAGGGCAGTGTGGAACCAAGACAATGACAGGTCAATGATGGATACGCCTTGGCCATGAGTACATAAGTATACGTGCTTAATTATACACACCTTGATTATTTAATTATAAATTATAATTACAAATGCTTATTTATAACTTAAAATTATAAATTATAAATGCTTAATTATAAATGCTTCTAGCCAGCTATAATATAGTTTTCCTCTTATCTTTTCTTTGTCACAGTTCATTTTTTGTTGTTGTCTGCTTATTTATTCACAGAACAGTTTTCTAATATGCAGCCTGTACAAAATGTGAGAAGAGAGAACAGAAAATTATACCATAGCATGGGCTCTTCTTTCCCTGGAGCCTGCTTAAGTTTCTACCTGCATATATTCAACTGATGATCAAGTATTCTTGAAGCAGCAAATGGTTCAGTTCAAAGTTGAAATTTAAAGACAATGCCATTTAGAGCATAGGTAAAAAACTACTTCAAGATTCAATAGCCAAAGACTCATTCATGAACCTTTGAGTCTGGGGAGCTTTAGGATAAAATGCCTAACAAAAGAAATCAGCACAGCAGAGCAAAGCTTCATGTGAGTAACTAAAACTTAATATAAGCCATCTGTAGGGACCCTGTGATCATATGTCAGAATATCAGGAGAACTTCTGAACTGAACGCTTGTTCTGTACGAAGACAAAATGCCTTGTATTAGTTGGGTTATGGTGGCACAGGCCTGGAATTCCAGCACTCAGTAGCCTGAGACAGGAGGATCCTGAATTCAAGGCCAAAGTGAGCAACCAATGAAGTTTAAGTTCAACCTGGTAGAACATTCACACACATACACATACACACAGAGACACATGCATATGCAGATATATACATATATACACACACACACCACACATGCACATACTCATATACACATATATACACACCTACACATACATACACACACCTATGCATACACCGACAAAGACACATACATACACACACCTATACATATACCTAAGACATATACATACACACACATACGCACACACCTACACACACACACACAGACACACACACACACACACACCCATACATACCTACACATACGTATATACCCTCACACCAGAGTTGCTTGTGGTCCAGCAGGTAGTTAAGCTGATGTCCACAGTTGGCCATAAGTTAACCTGATAGAAGTCACAGACAATTTCTCAATTTTTCTGAAGAGATTACTCCAGGGTGTTTTTTCATCTCTCATCTTTTGGTTATAACAAGAATGCCAGAGAAAACACAAACAGACCCAACTGGCCCTCCACAACATGGAGAGCTACCATAATTAAGCAAAAGCAACCAAGTTCTTAGAAAATCAGCTATCCTTATATACGAGTCAATATAAGAATGTTGATTTTAATATGTGTTTAATGATTACATTGCCCCTGGGCGTGGTGACACATGTCTGTAATCCCAGCCCTCAGGGAGGCAGAAACAGGTGGATCTCTGTGAGTTCGAGGCTAGCCTGGTCTACAAAGTGAGTCCAGGATAACCAAGGCTATACAGAGAAACCCTGCCTCAAAAAATAAAAAATTATAAATATATATATATGTACATATATATATATGAATATATATTGCTTACCTGCATAGCGATCCTCTTCAATGATGCATGCTTCTGGACCTCAGCTATGTCCCCAACTGCCAAACCAATCTGTAGTATGACAAAAGATCAAAAATGCAGTTAAGGTTGGTCTTCCCTTCTGCTCAAGCTTCAGTAACTGAACACCATAAAGTAAAATATGTATAAACTAAACTAAAAGGTGTATAAGAACTACACTTCATGGTCCAAATGGTACCTAAGCAACATGAATTTGTTCTTTACGTTTCTGGGGCCAGCTGGTCTAATTGTAGCTTGTGTATTTGCTTGATGTCCCTGGAATGCCTGCCCTTTTCTGAAGGAGATGAGGGAGTGGATTAGGGGAAGATATGAGGTGGAATAGAGAGACTGGGAAAAGGAGAGGGAGGGGAAACTGCAGTTGGGATGTGATATATGAGAGAAATTAATTTTTAATAAAGCAAAAGTAATTCCGGGACCAGGAAATAAAAAAAGATAATATTAGCAGATTCCGTGTTGTACATAGAATCTTTTATTTATTCTCAAGGAATAGCAGGCAAAAAAGGTTCCCACATACATAGGTATGAATCCTGCCCACATGTGTTCTGTCCTTATGATAGAGTTCTTTAAAGACCTTAGCTTTTAATACTATCTACTATCTTGCTGATTAAACATTCAAACTGTGCCAAGATCTTTCTGCCAAAGTGGAAGAGTGGCCTAAGGTAAGGAGGCAGCATCCAATTCAGACTAAAGTGATGGGGATGGAGCCATTGGTGAAGGAAGCCTGCCCAGAGGATCCGACACTTCAACTGAACTTTGAAAGATCAGAAAGAGTTAGCTTATGGTTGGAGGCTTTTCCAGGAAAGAGGAAAACCCTGAGTAAGAGTTCCAGAGGTAGAAAGGAAAGGTGAAACAGACCTGGGGAAGATGAGAGTTGAGTAATATCAAAATGATATTGAACAAAACATGTACTACAATGGGTCTGGACTCAATTAAGGCTTCTAAAGATTCATGAAGATGAATTTAACGGGCCCACTTTTATAACAAAATGATCAGCTTTTAATTAGCTATCTCTGTAGCGAAAAGTGATAGGAAGAATTTGGCAGAGAAATGAGAGAGTATGCTCCTGCAACCACTGCTGTGAGAGAGATCAAGCGCCATGAGATGTAAGCCAACTAGAAGAAGATGTGAGAGTCGAAAAGGAGTGAAGTTAGGGAGGCAGGAACTCTTAAAACTTTCGATGATCTGGATACTATCTTTGGACTATGAAAACCAGGAGGTATTAAAACCTTATCTTCTAAGTTTATTGCCTTCTGTAGTTTCTATTCCTAACATAAAGATGCACCTCAAACAGAGAGATGTTAAAAGGGTTAAGGATCTTCATCCTCTCTAAAGGTTCTAGGTAATTAAAGTGGTGAGCAAAGCTACATTACTTACTAGTAAATTCATGAGAACAATTGGGACAAACATTGTGAAGGCAATAAGTTGCCCAAAGGTCAGGACTGGATATGCCAATTCCTTTCTTAGGAATGGTTCTAGGAAGGCATCTTGATAATTGATGTCTCCCAGCATCATACTGAAAGTCTGGATTAAGGAAAGCAATGGAGAGCTGAAGGCATCCTGAAAAAAAGGAGAAAAGAAAACAGGAAATGAAAATTGCACAGCATGAAAAAGGGTTTCGTGATGACAAAATGATGAGAATATGTTAAGGATAGTTTTTTTAATTCACTCAAGTAGCAAGTAGGATGCAGTCATGACAAGTATTAATAAGCTACAATCATCAAAAGTAAACAGAAACCAAATTTTGGTGCTTAAATATAAGCTTTCTGACCAAATGAAAATCTAATAAAATTATATTTTTTCTCCTATAAAATCATTTAAAATATACATAAGATAAAATCTATTCAAATATAGTTACTGATTTACTAGGTTATTAGTATTTAAGTAAAAATATGTATTTCCAATAGTATTAAGTCAACTAGAGATGCAAATATCTTACCTGGAAATTCAGGAGAACGTAAAAGCTGAGTCCAAAAGCCAGAAGGAGAAAGATAAACACTCCCGTCGATCTCAACAACGTTTTAAAAATCACCTCCAACATAACAATGAAAATCCCACAGTTTTCAAACCTAGAAGAGTGAAAATATTAAAACAGTTGCTCGCTCTGGTGTCAAAGGTTGTTTCGTTCAGTATTTATCATGAGGTAAGTCAGATAGAAGGCTTAACAGATGACATCACTGAAGGACTAGAAATACAGCACACTCAGTGGTGGTGCCTGACTTGAACCTGCATTCCTTAGGTTTTTCCCAAAGTCATGTCCTCTTTCTCCAAGGGTCCACACCTCAGTCAGCATGGCTATGCTATTTACGGCAGTACAGATTAAAGTGTGGTAAGCATATTCTTGAAACCCAAGGCTCCAGTCCAGCCTATTTTTCAACTTACTAGCTGAAGCTGTCAGCAAGTTATCTTTACTCGGTGCTTAAGTTCCTTCTTTGATGCAATGCAGATCATGCAATTGATTTCTTGTTTTTATAAATACATGTAAAGACATTGAACTCAACTCTTAGGAGGTGAACGTAGCCCACTTTCTCTCTCTTCTATTACATACCACTTTTTAAAAATTAGATTATTTTATTCCTTTTTTCTATTACTCTTATTTATTTAACCCAAAGTAAGTGTTTATCAAATAAATCAGGGGAAACAAGAGTAGCTAACACTTTCATTTCCATTTCTGCCCACATTTGATCTAGGTTTGTTGGTGAAAGCAGATTTGGCACTGAGATGGCTATGGCCATGCCTGGGCACTGTGGTTGCGAAACTAAAGATGGAGGTCTACAGTTGGTGTCTAGTGGGTAGACGTCAGGGATGGTGCTAACTGTACAACACATGGCCGCATATGCAGAACTGACCCCTCCACACGCTGACAAACACCAGAAATAATCAATGGGTACCAAATGGAGGAGCTGAAGTCTCAGTCTACACACTGAATTCCAGAGCCCTGTACCTTTCAGGGTTAATATATTAAAATACGTTTAAAACAACTGGAAACAGTGAAAAACAAGTTACACTTCCACATCACACTATAATAGCCCTTTCTTTTCTCTTAAAAGGCTTAACAATGTAAAAATCATCCAAACCGGCCATACCTTTGAAGATACAATAGGAAGTTCATCCAGTAGAAGAATATCGCTATTGCTCCGCATTGCCACTGCATATAGGCTGGAATGTTGAGGAACAAGGGCAACACGAAAACGATACTGGTTGTGTAGATAACCCATTCCAGAGCATTGTTGTAATCCAGGAAGTAATTCCTTTTCTGGATAGAGAAGTAAGGAGAACTGTCACATAGAGAAATCTGGTGTCTATGGTTTGTAAAATGCTGCATGGCTTTGTTATTGTTGTTTTGTTGGTTTCTTTGGTTGATTGGTTGGTTGGTTGGTTAGTTTTCCATATAAAGAGTACATTCCCTATTAAGGGAACTTCTAAAGAACTGCATGTTGGTCTCCAGAGATCCTTCTGCCTCTAAGGACACACATTTTTGGTAAGGCATTGTGAGCAATCCTGGTTATAAAAGTGTTTGAGACCTGTTCTGAAAGTTAACCAGGGAACAGAACCAAAACACGGTGGTGTGTTTAGTAAAATGCTCGAGACATTAAATATTCCACATTGTAGACCATTTAAATATAAACCAGATATAAAGGGAGACCAACTCTAATGGAGGATTTTTATAATGTTATAGTTATTAAGCTATCATTTGCACTGTTCAGTTAGGATAATGAGAGAATTTAAAAGATAATGTTAAAACAGCAATGCAGCTTAACCCTCAGGATTATAACATTTTACTAATAACTGAATATATATGCACATGAAAGTATTTGTGATGCATAATAGTAAATGAATATATTTTTTAATCAACACCCTTAGTATTGAATACAAATATCCATGTACTTACATTATTTAACAATAAAAAATTTCAAAAATGTAATACTATGTAAGGGGAGCAAGGGCTTTCTCTGGCATGAATTTAGTGGCAGGTTCTCTGATCCCCTTCTCCTGGGGGGGGGGTGCAGCCTTGCAGGGCACAGAGGAAGACAATGCAGCCAATCCTGATAAGACCTGATAAGCTAGGGTTAGATAGAAGGAGAGCAATTGCTACATGGCTTTGTTATTGTTGCAATGGCAATGTGGAGCAATAGCGATATTCTTCTACTGGATGAACTTCCTACTCTATCTTCAAAGGTATGGCTGGTTTGAATGATTTTTACATTGTTAAACCTTTTAGTAGTCCCTTATCAGTGGACTAGGGGAGGGGCATAAGGGAAAAAGAGGGTGGGAGGAAGGATGGGATTGGGAGGAGATGAGGGAGGGGGCCACATCCAAAATACAAATTGAATAAATTGTAATAAATGATAATAATAATAATAATAAAACATAAAAGATGGAAAAACAATAAAGAATGAGCCAGAAGGGAGTTCCTTTAAAAACAATTAGAAAAAAAAATAAATAAAAATTTAAAACTATACACTTAGAGATAAAGGATCTCTCTCATTTGTCAATCAAAGAAAAGATCTCTGGATACTTTGTATAATTCATATCTAATCTGCACCTAAATAATTATCTTAAAAATAAGAACAAAGGGGAAAAAAGTGCCATAAAAACCTTTCACGCTAGGTGTGTGGCAGTACAGATAACCCCAGCATTCCAGAGGTGATGGCAAGAACAATTTGGCTTTTCCTCAATACAAAGAAAAATCATTCATCTTATGGCAACAATTCAAAGAACGGCCTGTTTGAAGTAAATTTGGATAAGCTCTTTAAAAATGCTTATATTACATATTTGAAATTGAATTCATAGTGTTATGGTTAAAATAACTACAAACAAAATATCTTAAATACAAGAGCAAACAGCAAAGTCATTCATAATGATCACTGAGGACAGACAGACCCACATGGAAGCCGTAAAGGTGGAGCAACTCTTTCTCATATTCTCAACTAGACAATGACCTTACCAAAAATCATGTGATTTTTTTACATTTTGAAGTTTTTATATTAGTTAAGCTATGTGAATTTAATATGACAAAATCATTTCAAATAACAGTTTATTAATTAATTCATACTCTCTACATTAAAATAGTTATGACTTAGAAATACAAGCTGAATTATGTACCTGTTGGAAAATTTGGACCACTTCTTTGCAATATCCAAATATACTTGATAAAAATACTAGAATCATACATATTTTTATTGGAAATGAATTCTGCAACAGAAAGCATAAGGCAGAAGGATTATGAGGTGTTTGAGAATAGACAATATTTATTTGTGTCACAATATCCCACTAGTAAGTTTTATTTTGCTTTTGCTTCATTTTACGCATTGTCTACAATTTCATTAAACTGAAAAACAGTGTCATGGTAATACTCATTTCATTTAACAGAGATGACATACTCATTTCTTAAAACCTCTGTTATTACATGCTCAAACACTGTCAAGTGAATTACAAAGGTGTCCAGATCTGCAGACCTGCATGCATTTAAAAAACTTGTGATAAAGTACATATGACTTAATATTTACTGATCTATAATTTTCATTTCATGTGTTTGTTACTTATATAGCGCATATGTGTGCATGTACTCGTGTCACAGTGTGAAGGTGGAGATCAGAGAACAATTTGAAGAAGTGGGTCCTCTCTATCAATTGGGTCCTAGGTATTGAACTCAGGTCATCAGGTTTGGCAACAAGCGCTTTTACCCTCTGATCCATCTTGCTGACCCCCGTAATTTGTCACTTAAAAAACTCGACATTTAAATACACCTTTACAATATAAAATGTATGATTCCTATCATTAAACACATTCACATCATTTTATCACCATCTCCAAAGCTTTCACATTATGCTATTTAAAAAATAAACCTACAAATAGGAAATATCTCTCCCTTTTCCCCTTTGCCTGCATTCCCCATAATGAGAAATCCATACTATTTCAGAGAACTTGTAAATTACCACATTTAGCATTTTAGCTAGATGGCAATGCCTCTTCAAACTCTCTAATTGACAATTTGTTAACATTCTTCTCATTTCAAGAAAGATTTCTGAAGAAATTTGTATCACATATAAGTTCAAAGTCCTGATAAGTCAGCTTTTTTAATGGGCTTCTTATTTCTAAGGAAACACAATTTTTACAATCCTTGATTTTAAAATGTTGAAGTTTCAAAATACCAGAGTGTCCACTGTTTCTATATGATTATTAGTTTCATTGATGATTCCAGTGGAGTTGAAGGCCAGTCCGGGCTTTATTTTGACAACAAGAAGGGTCATGGGTATGAGACCAAGACAATAAGATCCTAAGTTCATCATGTGGGCTCTAAATCCATAGGCACACCTACCAAGAAATGAGCAAACCACAACTGAGTCATCTCAAAAAAAATATTTAAAGACATCTATAGAAAATAGCAATTCTCTATTTCAGACATCTATTTCATAAATCCATTGCATTTTACAAACCAAAAATTCTTCTAATTTGCCTTCTTTGTTTTCAGAGATGGAATCTCAGTCACTGAGTAAATGTCACTGTCTCACCAACTCATGGAAAAGCAGAGTCTTCCATCTATGCAACCTAGCCCAAATCAAGGCTATCAATGCTACCTCCCCTATTACCTCACTGCTCATTAAACTTTGTGACCCAGGATGCTGGCTTTTGTGTCCGAGAACAATTCCTCCCTACCTCTTACACATTTCAAATTGAAAAGTGTCAAAGAGAACCTCAATAATTTTAATGACAATTTTTTTCTTGAATGCTTAGTCTTCTTAACTTTTAAAATATTACAGTAAAAAATCTACAATAACAAAATACCACTGCAATAAAATTCTTTAATAGGCTTTTGATAGATGATTGTAACGTCGAATTAAACAGAAGGAATGGCACCCACCATTTCATGAGTAAGTATTCCTTACACACTGGGTGGTTGAGAAGCTCTATGCGGTTATGTTGTACCATGACCTGAAAACAAAGGAAAAAGCAGTAAAAGCACAACGCTATTAAATAACTGAGGAGGAACTGAGCATTTAGTTTTCTCATTTATAACATTATTATGGTTTTATGAGTGCAACACTTTCTTATTTAAAAATTTTTGAGAAGTTGAAACTTTTACAGAAGTAAAGATGCAAAAGAGAAGGGGAGAGGGAGGGAAAGAGAGAGAGAGAGGATTGTTTTTATATAGAGGCAACCACTTGATTCAGTCTGTCTCTTCCTATCTCTGTCTCAATAGTATGGCATACCCTTGTTAATCCTAAAAAGGGTTACAACAGAAATAGACATTATAGATAAACTGGCAAGGGTTTACCCTCACTCTGTTGTTGAAGAAAGTCTTACCTTTCTAGAGGAATTTTGTCAGTAAAGCACGTATGAGGAGTAAAGATAATGTGTACATTATAAGCCTTCAAGGATAGATACTTTAATAATATTTCAAAACTACATTTTAATTACCACAGAAACATATAATGAGAAATGAATGACAGTGAGGGGAGCAGAGAACTCCCACATGTTCTTTCATTCACAAAAACCACTGGCGTTACCATAGTGCACGGACCACACTACCTTGCTGAGGGGTCCCTGCTAGGAGGATCCTGCAAGCCAGATGAACATGTTAACCTAGAGAAAATAGTCCTCAGAGATGAGTTCGAGAAAAGCCGAAAGTGAAGAAATACAGGCTTGGGCAACATGGCAGTTATAGACATTGAATTATAAAATTGTCTCCCAAGAGCTCTTCCATTTCCATCAAGCATGTTGTACCCAAGAAATTCAGAGCTAAATTGGAAAGCAGTCTATTAATACTGACACTAGACTTACATTGAGGATTGAAAGAGGCTCGTATACCACATCTTGCGTAGGTGTTATTTTTTTGGTCATTGACAATGGGCATTGAAGATATTTGAAATTATACTCAATCTGTGGAAGACAAAATTTCAAAACATTAGTCTAATAAAGATCTCAAACTATTTCTTTTTTAATTATATTTGGGATTTATTTTATTTTTTATCTTACATGCATGGATGTTTTGCCTGCATATATGTCTGCATACCGCATATGTATTTGGTGCCCACATATTCCAGGAGAGGGCATTTGATCTCCTGGAACTAGAGCTACAGACTATTATGAACCACCACAATGTTGCTGAGAATTGAACCTGGGTCTTCTGGAAGATTATCCAATGCTTTTAAGCATTGAGCTGTCTGTCTATTCCTGTCACTTCTTCTTGTAAATCAAACATATAAGTTTATTTATTTATTTATTTATTTATTTATTTATTTGCTGAAAGTTAACTGATGTAACTATGAGTAATTTCAAATGGAGAAAGGAAATTATTACAGGTAAATTAAAAACCTAAATATATGGGAAAGATATTTTCCATTTTTTTATAGCTCATAGCCATGAATAAAATAGAATTATATGGTTAGGGCTCCCATGAATGTAAATTATTTAAGTCATCCTGGTGCTCTGGATTCATAATCCTGAGGAAAAATGATAGCTTGCCATGCTGTCCTCTTAGAACCTGCAAGGACAGGTTGTCCTAGGTAGCCTCATACATTCAGCAGGCTCTCGTGGTTAACTGGCCAACTACCCCCATGGGACATGAGTTATTTTAGACATTCACCACCCCCCTAAAATACCTAAGTAAGTGTAATCACTATAAATAACAACAAATGATGGAATTAGAAGTAAACAAAGTATTTGAGGGAGACTTCAAATGTAAGAAGAATACTTTCCCATAAATCAATAATGTACTATGATGACAATACTCACCACTACTATAGATTATAGAAATACAGAAGCAACACTTTTATATTTTCACTCAAGCGTTACAAAAATACTTTCAATTATCATAATAAAATAAACTTACATGGTAGTCTTGACAGGACTTGTCTTCTGTAGAAGGTATCATGCAGAAATCTAGAAGAACCTTTGAGAAAGAAAACCCAACTGAGATATTGGAGCAGCATACAGTACATGAGAAGGAACTTTATTCCATGTCTAAAATAATATACGAGTCATCCCCTTGCTTTCTTTGCTTCATAACTCTTCTTCAGGAAGAACAAAGAATTGGAAATTTTCTCCTGATGGAATCGCTGCCCCAGGAGAGGTCATAGTACGTTAATACCATGAATTTGCTTCCTGCGCTTCTAGGTTATATGTTCATCTGGGGTGCAAGAGACTCATAACCAGGTTCTGCATTGCTTATCAAAGCATAAACTCTTATCATCGTGTTCAAATAGACACATGTATTAAACACTGTTTCCCTAGTACAAAGAAAGCAATTCCATAAAATGACAATATATGACCACCACCACGTCACATTAGAGCTAAGTATGCAAAAGGAAGGAATGGGGTGTTCCCCATGGAAGAGGCTTCTGCACATAGAAGCAGCTGGTGTTATTCTTACTTTCTGAGAAGGCAGTCCTAGATCTTTTGATTTTTACAGGCAGTCAGGTACCTGTGTCTTTAAAGAAGGCATCTTGGGCATAAACGTTAGGTAAACAAATGTGAAGAGTGTTCATTCAGCTATCAAATACCACCATGTCTTTGCACAAAACTTCAATTATTTGAAAAAAGAAAATCTGTTCACCATATTTTGTCATAGAACATGCAACAATTGTTAGGATTCCTTTGTCAAAGCAGGTCCTCAATAAGCATTTGTGGCTAATTTCCCTCATAGACTTTCACATAGAAACTGTGAAGATAGACACGATTATTATGAGGGTAAGTCCGCCTACTACAATGATGTGCCAAGCACATACCCATAAAGACTTTTGCTTTGGGCTCTTACTTTCATGCACTCAGGGAGATATTCTACCATTTCCATGATTGGACATCTATTGCTCGGAGAATGATGAGTAAAAACTTGAAGACACTCATCCCATCTGTAAATAATATAAAAGAAGCACAATAATTCATCACTGTTTTGCACTGCAGTTCAAACTGGAGATTACGTACTTTTAGTGGAAGCCCAACTTTAATTTTATTCTGAAAGTATCATGTTCAGACACTGCTTGCGGTGAAGCCGTGTGAATCAGCAGCACTTCGTCAATATGACCCTAATCTATCAATAGGGATTAGGAATGGGGGTGAGATCCAGAATGCCTGTTATGTCCACTGCTCTGTCTCTTTCTCTAACTGTCTTTTAAAGAAGATGAGTCTTCGTCTTCTTTCTCACCTGAAATTATGACATGGTAAGTACTTTCAGAGGTGATTATGTTAGGTACAGAAAGTCCAGTTCACATACAAGAATCTATAAGTTAGTAGTGCGTCCATATTCAACTCATATATATGTACACATGTAATGTATTGAGTTGAATTGAAAAATAACGTGTTGAATACAATAGTGCATGTAGATCCTGCCATAACATTTCAGAGTGTGTCTCTTTCTTTGGCACCAGCTGGAAAGATGGAATTGGAAGGTACTTATGATTCCAAAGAGAAATTAAATCTTTAACAGGAAGCAAAGATGGGATAATTTATCTCTAAGATAATACCTGTAGGATGAGAATTAGGCTACTACTGTCAATCTAGATAATTTATGACTAAAACTCATGTGGAATGTCTGCAGTGTTGTCAGAAAAGAAGGCTAGGTACTTTGGTTCACTGATGTGTAATCTAAGGCTACACTGGTGTTTCCAAGGAAACACATTTCTTGAGACTCCATATGCTCTAAAGGAAGCTACATCTACCTTGGATATGAGTATTGGTCAACTTTGTGTCTCCCAATGTATGACACAGGGGTTATCTGACTATCTGTGGTGCTATTGAGAAGTTTTCTTTGAGCAGTGGAAAAACCACAATCTAACATCATCACCCAAATTCCTTAAAGGGGCTGGGGCAGTGGCTCAGTGGTTAAGAGCAGTGGCTGCTCTTCCAGAAGACTTGGGTTCAGTTTTCAGCACCCACAAGGTGGATCATAACCATCCATGACTCCAGTTTTCTGACCTCTCCATGTTCCAGACATACATGTGGTACACGTACACACAAGCAGAAAAAAAAACATTAAAATAAATAAATACTTTAAAAAACAAGAGTACACTTTTTAGATTATGGTTTACAAATGTGCATCCATAAAAGGCCACATGTTGTTAGGGAACATTTTATTAAGTGACATTAATAATCTTAATTATGCTTCTATCTTATTATTTGCATGTATTTATTTATTTATTGTGTTTCTGTGGAGGAGCACGCATCACAGTGCACATGTTAAGTTAGAGGGCAACCTGTGGAAGCCAGTTCTCTCCTTCCACCATATGAGTTCTGAGAATCAAACTCAGGTAGTCAGGCTGGGTGGCAAGCATGGCTGCCTGTTGTGCTAGCTCACTAGTCCTAGGCTTGTCTTTATCAACCTCCAGCTTGGGAGTTTGTGCTGGCAAGAATGTATCAGGCAAGTCCAGGAAGGCAGGCTAGAGTTTGCTTGACAGTAACCTTGTTGCCAAATGTTTCAGGTTCCTGGATTCCCGGCATCTCATAAAGGACTAACCAGGTAGTATTGCGCTGTCATGACACATTTTGTAGAAATGAAGACTGAGCATGAAACAATGGCTCCCACTCTCAGCAATAACTGAACAATAGGCATTTACATATGTTAGTTAAAGACTGGAGCATGTTCTTTCACTCTCACTTGTTCTCAGGCGAGGGGTTCACCCTGTTACTGGAGGATGGGGGTCACAAAGGAGACAGGAAGACATATACCTTTTACTCCTGATGGTCGTGAGAACCACTTCCTTGCGCTTATTGTGCAGGGCAATGTGCAGAAAGGAGGCTTGCTGCTTGTTGAGGAGGATGTCAGCATTGTAGCTCAGGAGCATCGCGACAGCCTTGGCATGGCCTTCCCGGGCTGCAAAGTGGAGGGCTGTGTTCTTTCAGACAAAAAACAAAGCAGACGATGTCGGGTGACAAGAGAAAGCATCCCTCAGCTGTGTTGTTGCCTTGTTTCATTGCTGAATTTCTTAAAAGAATGATCAATGAAGCTAACTACCTATTAGTAAAGTATACCAATTTAAATGTTCGCAATGAAGCTTTTAAACAATGGTTTTATCATCCAAACAGTGTGTGTGTGTTGTGTTCCTTTGTGTTGATCTGTGTTGGTTCTGTGGCAAGGTGACTCCACAAAGACAAACGAAAAGCTTTAGGGTAAAGTTCTTATGGTTAGCACAGAAGGGTATGACCCTGAGCACATAGCACCAATTAGAACTGTGGATTCCAGACTTGGAGTTCTACAAGCACATTAAGAAGACAGAGACTGCTATAAGTTTGCCAAATTGTCATTTTCCCATTTAACATGGTTTTAAAAATAAAAACAGAACTCATGATGGCCTATCCAAATCATTTCTTGAGGAAATGTACATTTCAACACTCTCCAAACAATAAGAAGAGATGGAAGTTTTAATTGACATCTTGACACAACCTAGAAGTGTATTTCAGTGGAACTGTCTAGATCAGGTTGGCCTGTGGGGCATTGTCCTGATTACTGATTGTTGTAGAAGGACCCAGCCCACTGGGGGGAAGCCTCATTTCTTCAGCAGGGGTTCCTGAAGTAGAAAAGACAGGTGAAGGCCACACAGGAGCAAGAAACCCAGGATCCATTCATCCATCTCAGTGCTTGGCTGTGTATGTGATACAACCAGCTGCCCTGAGCTTCTGCCTTGACTTCCCTTCAGCGATCGGCTGCAACATAGAGCTGTAAGCCTGATAAACCCTCTCTGCCTATCATCCAGATGCTTTATCACAGAGACAAAAATGAAACCAGAACAGAAATTGGTGCCAGAGGAGTACATCATCGAAGGATGTCAAGACAGGAACTCAAGCAGAATAGGATCTGGAAAGCAGAGGTCATGGAGAAGTGTTGCTTTCTGGCTTGCTCATCATGGCTTGCTCAGAATTGCTCTTATAGAACCCAGAACCACCATCCCAGGGATGGCCCCATCCCCAAAGGAATAGGCCCTCCTGTATGAATCACTAATTTAAAAATCGCTCTACAGCTGAATCTTACGCGGACATTTTCTCAGTTGAGATTCACTCCTTTCAGATGACTGTAGCTTGGGTCAAGTTGACATAAAACTGGCCAGCACATTCCTTCTTGGAATGAATGCTTAATTATGTGATTCGCTTTTTACAGGAGCCCACATTTAAAAGTATTTTTAAAGAGTTGGCTTTTTTTTTTTTTTAGGACTGGGGACATTAAAATTAGATTATATTTTGTATGTAATATTAACATGAGACCTCAGAAGTAAGGAAAGGTATGGCTTAAGGAAAGTGATGTAGGTGTCTGTATGTCAAGTTGACAAGAGGAGGATTAAGACGGTTTTGATTGTCAGTTTGCTACAAACTAGGGTCAACTTAGGAGCAGAGCCTCAAGGACTCCTCTGGATCTGATCAGCCTGTAGTCATGCCTGTACGGCGTTTTCATGATTGTCAATTGCCGCTACTCACTGTAGGCTCGAAGAATCTTGCTGAACAGAGAGCAAGCAGCAAGAGTCCATTTCTCTTGGTGCTTGTCTGTAGATGTGATGATGTCCAGATGTATAAGCTCCTGCCTTATGTGATGGGCTGTAACTTAGGATTTTGAGTCAGATTAAAGCCCTTCCTCCCCAACTTACTTTGTCAGGGTGTTTTTTTTTTAAATCAAAACAACAGGAATAAAGCTAGAATAACACCCAATACGAGACAATGAAGCCAATCCTTTCACATCACTGTGTTTTATGTCAGATGCATCTCTTTAGGGTTCATCAGGGGGAGATAAAATTTTAAGGTGAAATCACAGGCTTCTATAGCTATGAAGGGTAGCTTTAAATCACAGACATCCCTTACTGTTTTCCAATGTTCTATTCTCTTTTTATTTATTCCTCTTTCCAAGAAACTACTTTTTTTTTTAAACAATCCTACAAAAGGCTGAGAGCAGAGCAAGGAATAAAAAGCTTTTAAAGAAAGATTTCTTGCAATTTTGGGGGTTTGTTCTATGCCAAGATTTTGATTTGGTCAATGAAATCTAGTACCTACCCCATCTTCATCTAGTCGATCTGTACACTTCAAGTTAGTATCAAGAATGACCTTCATGGTCTGAGTGTACCCACCCATGGACGCATGATGCAAGGCAGTCCAGCCATTGTAGTCACTGTTAGAGGTAAGAAAAGACATGCAAACACACTTACAGATCAAATGTGGAAAGTGTTGCCACTAAGCTCAGTGTGGCTTGAGCTGATGGCAAAGCATGAGGTGTAACAACTCAATATTTAGTGAATATTTATAAAATGTGACGTAGTTTCAAGCATGGTAGTCATAACTCATTTACTTATTATTGTGACTCACATGTACACTTTATAGTGAAGCATAAGAGATATAAGAATACTATCAGACTCTTGAGAGTGGGGTAAAGTATAGCTAATGTGTTCTGTGTCTTATTTTTCAAAGCCTAAATGTGTTTTTAAATACAATTTTCAATCTTGTTTCCCTGAGCATTGTATCAGAAAATTTTCCATAACAGTTGCTTTGTCTTTACAGTCACTAGTGTAGTGCAGTTATAAGATAGTTAATGTTGGTTCTAAGTATTTATGTCTACTCTGTTTTTTTAATCTAAGATGTCTATCCTTTTCCACAGAAATTAAAGATGCAAATATTTTTTGAACACTTGCCGTACTGATGACACTTTACCAAATATCATATAGAAAAGAAATTACACAAGTTGATTTTGGTACTAATAAGTAAGCGTTTCAGGTTATGTGTGGCACCCTGCTATTTCAGTAATGCTGTAATCAAGGAGATATGAAGCTGGGTCTCCGGGTGTCCCTTTTGCAGGTCTGATGTTCTGTGTCCCTTAGAAGTAGGAAGAGATCAGGCAAAGCATTCAGTTCAAGGCTGTCACTCACACACCACTATCGGTACTCTGAGCCCAAAGATCTACTCGTTCTTTGCCGCTTTGGTGACCCATGAAGATGGTGCATTTAATGAACCTGTATGAGTATCTCTAGCTTTTCTTTCCTTGTTATAAAGATGATAGTCAACATAGTTCTTATATTTTAACATGTCTTATATTTTAACATGGTTCTGTTAATCATGTTAACATTCCTTAAATATAAGATAGTCCAGTTCAGTTTGAATGTTTCCCATCACCACTTTTTTTGTATCCCTCATTTATTAGATTGAAGAGAAAGCCCTTTGTGCCTGGATGGTTTTCTAATTGTTTGTGTGCAAATGTACACATACATGTACTCACACACACAACGTATCTCTGCATTGACACAAAAAGATGGAAGAATAATGATAGAGGATACAAAGAAAATTTTCAGGGTTTGGGACATACTCCTCTCAAAGCCATTTATTCTGCGGCAACAAGGTTCATTAACCTATACACTTCATTTGCCGTTTAAGAATTATATTTCATTCCATTTTAGTGTTTGGGAAATTATATATGTTTCGAACACTAAATGAGATAAATAGCTTTTATATTTATTGAGACCTAAGGTTTTATATCATCATTTTTAATTATTACAGAAACAAATCTAAAATGTCTAAATTTAAAATATGCACAATTCCATGCAATCGTGCCTCACCTGAGAAATAACGCCCCTTTCTTTAGAAGAAGCTGAACGACTTTATCGTGTCCATTCTTTGCTGCAAGGTGGAGAGGGGTCATTCCATGGAGATCCCCTTCATTCAAAAGCCTCGTGTCACTTATGTCTTGCAGAAGCCTCTGGCATGTATTGATGCGTCCATAACTTGAAAAGATCAGGTTCATACATATAAGACAAATATGAAAGAGGCACAGCCACTCTCAAATGTCTGAGCCTCACCTGGCTGCGAAGTGCAGTGGCGATTTCTTATCCTTGCTTTTGGAATGAATGGACACATTGAACCCAAGGAGGTTATTGACAGAGACAGGGACGCCCTGCCTGCACGCATAATGGAGAGGTGTACACCCATCATTGTCTTCATCCATCACCAGTTCCTTAATGTGTTGCATCTGTGGAAAAGGGGTATTTTAATACAATGGCCGGCGGGCTCATGGGCTAGGTTTCCTACTATTCTGCAGCGTATCACTATATAATCTGTTCCTTGAAGTCAAATCACCAAACAACCTAGATGCAGCCACAGAAAAATAAATACAGATGAAGTCTCATGATCTGTCCTTTTGTCAAGGCTTTGAGGAATCCTCCAAATAGAGAAAGAACAATGTGGCATTCTCTGAACCATTTGACCAAGACTTCCCTTTTGCTCCCCAGCCACTTATTTCCACAAAACATACTTGAGCTCCCACATGGTTATATGAAGCCAAACAAAACGGATGGGCATCTCAGTTTACTTAATTTCCTAAGTAGTTTAAATGAGAATATGAAAGGCAAATCATTGGGTCAATCCATGTAGTAAGCATTTACTTTTGTTTAAAAAATTTAAGCCCATATGCATTTTGATTCTTTATTAAATACAATAACTGCATGAAAATCTACTTAGCAAGAAATATGACATACTTCATATTTCATGCATTTGACATGCATTTAATAATGCAGCAGTAAATACAAGCTGGCTCATTAAACATGGTCCTGTGGTCAACGAGCGAAGGGTGTTGAGCGGTTTTCTTAACTGATGGTGAAACATTCCTAATTCACCTTCATACTTGGGTTCTCCATTCACACGGAATTCAAATAAGTGAGGCAGTGAAGGAAAATGACTGATTATCAGAGCGTCTTAGTTATAGATGAGAGTACAAAACCCCCGTAACTTAAAAAAAAATCAGTCTGGATTAACGTCATCCTCAACTAATTATTACTGTCCCCACTTCTACAACGGAAATAAAGTATCTTTATTTTAAATCAGTTTTTGAAAACCTACATGAGCTCTCATACTACAAATGGCATCAGAAACAGTTTATTCTGTATTGAACATAATAACTCAGTTTACAAACATTCTTGGACATACCATACCTGCATAAACTCAGGTCGCAAATTTTTTAGTCCATAAGGCTGTTGTACGGTCAAATGCAAAAAGTTACGCCCAAGGTGATCTTTTATGTCTACTTTGGCACCTGAAAAAAAAAAAGCACAGTATAAATATAAAATATACCCAGGTGTTTATAACACAGTCTTTGGTGGGTCCATGTCTTTCCAAATCTTTAACTGACAGACAGCTGTAGTCAGGTGGGGAAATTGAACATATTTCTTAAAATGGGTTTACTTTACTCTGTGTGTGTGTTCATATGTGAGGGGGAAAATGGTAAAAAAAAAATCTGTGATACATTAAATTTCTATTTGAATCTTTAAGTTTTAAGCATAAAATATGAACATGGAGAGATTAAAAAAAAAAGGAGAGGTTAGCAGCCTCTTCTGTTTCCACAGCACCAGGTTAGTCGGCAACGGGGACAGTGACAGCTGCTGAGACAGAAAGCTCATAACATCTTCAGCCAATTCCTGGTGTTTAACAGCTGCCTTATACATAGGATGTGCTATTGCTACAAGTCACCATTTCAATAGTTTTTAACTGGACTGAACACTTGTGTCTTGGAAAGTATTCCGTTAGCCTTTGTGTGCACCGAGTATGTCCCAGTGCCTGGCGTGAGATAGCTGGCTAGCAGATGTTCATCTTAGCAGATAGGTTTGCTTCTTACTGCTGGGTACCTTTAGAGAGGAGCAAATTCACAATATTCCAAGAGGCCGAAGCAGTTGCTAAAATGAGTGGAGAACGTCCTTCAGAGTCAGTGCTGTTGATGTCTGCCCCCTAGAACAGAGCAAGTCATTCAACAAGCAGAGCATGTATAGGGAAGGCAGCCGCTGACCTTGCAATGTGTAACTAGTGTCCGGAGTACATTCCTCCAGCACTCAATCTGAAGACTAGTCATACAATTTAATGAGATGTCTCTAAAACTCAAATACCATTAGAAATCAAGACGGTCTCTTTTAATTTCAACCAGGAAGTTCTTTGCCCTTAACATCTGTCAATAGGTCAATTACTAACCAAGTCCTTAAAACAAAACCTTCTCAACCTAAAACACTGTTTTAGTTCCCACCATAAGAAATTATTTTTAAATGTTTCTCATTTTGATTTTTTCACATTTATTGCTTGTGAAATTTTTAAAGCAACAGTAAGTAATCATCCACCTAAAAATACTTACTTTATTTGATTAACTGAGACAACTGAATTGAAATTATGACAGTAAGTGTTTAGCCAAACATCCATGTAAAAATTGACATTAAAAGTTGCTTTTTGTTATTCTTGTGTGTTATAGGACTATATTCCTCATGATAAGCAACAAATTACCTTTAATATTTTCATAGATCAAATTATCTACTTTGGTCAGAGAAGTAGAAACAGCACAAACTTAATATCAGGCATTTCCATTTGCTCTTGCGGAGCCTGGCTAATAGCAGCAGTAACCGCCTCATGGGAGGATGATGGCAATGGCTGAGGGTCCGCCATGAGTCTCCCAACAGGCCATTTGCCAGAAAGCACACACAGTGCAAACTCATGGTATTCGGTGAAGCTCTTCCCAATTCCTCTGTGTAAATATCACGATTACCAGTAGCCTCTACTAACAACACAGGAAGTGCTAAATACTATGAATGGAGCTTTGCTACTGTCCGCTTGTGGGGACTAACGAAGCCGCCACACAGCCACCCATGAGCAAACTTGTGAAAATGTCAGTCAAAAGCTAGCCAAGTCTGCTTCTCTGGGTCAAGATCTCATGCTTTCATTGGCAGCAAATCTTCAACATATTTTTAAACTTCGTTGTTTTTAATGGTCTGGAAGTTGAAGCTGAGGAAGTGGGGCTTTTTTGGAAGATAAAAGTGAATCGGTGGCCTGCTCTACACCTGCCCAAGATATATATCAGTGCTGATAAAGGATCAGGTGACCCAACAGTCCTAAGAGGACCCATTTATAGGCCCACAAAGGGCTTTTCTTTACAATAGGCTCATAAACTCTAAGCACAAAAATCACTAAAAAAGGACCTCAAAATATAGAGTTCTTCTAATGTCCTAGTCTGGGTACTGTGCATCAACAGGAAACACACTCTTGAAAATGTATAAATCAGACTTCTGGGAACTTTGGCAGCAAAACAACTGCCTATAATTTCTTTGTACTTCATTATTTGCAAGTCCTTAACCCCCACCCCCCATTCTTTTTTTATATAAATTGTATTTAACAAGCAAAATTCTCATGATTTAAAATAGCACTTCAAAATTATATATTTAAGTTTGAGACTAAGATGAAAATAACTTTAATTTCCACAGACATTCCTATTAAATTTTAAACAGAGAGATTATTAACTAATAATTCTGGTTTATTAAAAAAATACCATACTACATATTTTAGTGATGTTTTTAAATGTCAGTAGTAGTTTAAGTAAACTAGGCTTGTCAGTTGAATAATTACCACTGAAATTAAGTAGTCTGCCAGGTCATGGTGATCAAACAATGAGGCTCTGAAAGAAAAAAAAAAAAAAGAAAGAAAGAAGATTCAATTGAAATAAACATGAAAACCAAAGTTGCTCTATTCAGAAATAAATTTAACTGGACACAGAACAGCACAATGTTATATTTAAGAATGAATATTCTCAGTAGCATACTGTCAAAGTAATAAAAATCAGGAAAAATAAAATACAATCCAAACATATTCTTTCTTGTTCTAATAAGTGTGATCTCTCCTACAAAATCATCATTCTGAAGTTGAGAGCAAGATTTGTCTTTTAATTGAGATGAATGGACTGGTGGGCCCTGTTGTGATTGTAGGGATCATGCAAGATGTGCCTAAAATACATCTGTAGCACTGGAAAGTCTCCTGGGAGTGTGGGTGGGTGGAGCTCCTCTAAAGCTAACCAGTGAGAAAGTTTTCCTGAGCCCTTTTTGTTGTTATTGTTCTTTTTCTTTATTATTATTATTATTTACAATTTATCCAATTTTTATCTGTGCTGTAGCCTCCTCCATCATCTCCTCCTGGTCACCGCTCTCCCTCTCTTCTCCCCCATCTCCATGTCTCTCCTCTAGTCCATTGATAGGGGAGGTCCTCCTCCCCTTCTATCTGACCCTAGCCTATCAGGGCTCATCAGGACTGTCTGGATCCTCTTTTTCTGTGGCCTAGTATGGCCACCTCACCAGGGGGAGGTGATCAAAGAACAAACAACTGAGTTCATGCCAGTGACTGCTGTTGTTCCCCTTTCTAGAGAACCCATATGTAGACTGAGCTGCCCATCGGCTACGTCTGAGCATGGGGTCTAGGTCTTCTCTGTGCATGGTCCTTAGTTGATGCATCAGTCTCTGCAGCAGTGGTATAGTGGTAAGCCTTCCTGAGCTCTTAAGAAGCCTGAACTTACTTTGGAGAGAACTGAAGTCACTTTAGAATTATCTTATGGCCAATCATAAGAAATACTAATTAATAAAACAACTGAAAGCTGCAAATATTCATTAAAACACCACTGTGCAGATGCTAACACAAATGACTTAAAACTCCATGTTTTCTATTGAATCTCACACGGTTTCTGTCCAACACCCCCAACTGTTCTTGACTACATACATCAAACATCAAAACACTCTTTTGGGTGTCACCCAAAGGTCACAAGAAATAGCACGGGGCCCTATTTTCCAAACATAGTGCTTCTTAGGCATATTAATATTCTAAAACCATGCTATGAAGAGTCACTGGATGCTCAAATTGACTGAATCAAAGAATTCTAAAGACTGTCTCAACTCACCCCATTGTTCTTTCCCTCCTTCTTTCCTCCCCCGCCCATCTGTGTGTGTGTGTGTGTGTGTGTCTATGTGTGTCTGTGTCTGTGTGTGCTTGCTGCAGCGCTCATGTGGAGGCTACAAGTCAATCTGCAGGCATCAATTCTTTCCTTCTACTATATGCTTCCTAGGATTGAGCTCAGGTCACCAGTCTTGGTGGCAAGCACCTTCACCTACTTAGCCATCTTACTTGAGCTAAGTTTTTGTTTGGGGGATCACTAGTTAGATTCTTTTAGATCAACACTCCTCTATTCATGCTGACTCAGTTTCACCATTTTCTGTTGTCATCATATGCTCATGTTTGTATAACGATCATTTGTTTCTTTGTTTTTTGTTGTTTGTTTTTTTTTTTTTGAAAAACTGAAATATATTGATTGTCATTATTTTCATCTTGCTCTTTATTTTATATGTTCCTGAGAGTAAATAAATCTTTTGTTAGTTTGGGTGTTCTGCTGCTTTTTTAAATATTTTCCTCATAATTTATAAATTTTTAGTTTGCAGATTTATCCTATGGGAGAAACTGTCAGAAAATGCAAATCGATCTAATCAAACCTAGAAGCTTCGATGAGCTTCCCAGCTCAGAAGGGCATCGTATACTGATGGCTTGAATTTCTTTTCCCCTAGAGGTAATGTAGCTTTCCTGATCCAGTGGCCTCCCGAGAATTTACAAGCTCTCTTCTGCCATCCCATGCCTCTATTTAATCATAGCTATGGAGGAGAAGAGGGAGAGAGCAAAAATACAGAGGAAAGAGGCTGTCGCTCAGACAGGGGATATGTAATCTGTGCCTTCCCAAGGTCTTACAGTCCCTGTCTACAGTGACTTAGAGTCCCACTCCACACTTTGTGCTCCCTTGCTCAGCATCCAGGAAACATACACCACGGAAATACTTCTCTTTGTTTGGAATTTTGGTTAGAGAATTTCCTACAGCTGTTTCAAAAGGGTGAAGGCAGAAGAGATCAGAGGGGGGACAGAGAAGAGCCTGTGTGGATCTGCTCCACTTTCATCACTAACCACCAGTGGGATGCACCTGGAGAATTGGAATTTAGAAACGGCTTAGAAAGTCACACATGCCAGCTTCCTTAGCAGCACCTAAACATGCTTTTGAGTGTCATCAGAGGTTTACTAGAAATAGCACAGGGGTCCTATTTTCCTAGCACAGTTGCTTCTTAGGCAAATTAAAACTCTAAAACTAATTTATGAAGAGTCACTGGCTGTCCAGCTTAACTGAATCAAAGAATTCTAAAGAGTATCCTAATTGACCCCCATTGATTCTAATGGAATCTGGGCTGTTAACCAGCTCTAGAGTTTCCAAGGTCCTCACTGACTGGGCCAATGGATCAATGGCTGATCCAGAAAATGTCACGGGAACTTTTGTTCTGCAAAGTTCTATTTGCTATTTGTTTTTGATTCCTCAGGGTCTTTTAAAGGTTCTAGGTGAAACACAACATCATGATTAATTCTCTCCTGACCTTTGTCCCCTTTCTGTTTGACTTCAAGCCTGACTTATCAAAAAGACACATAGCTATGGCAGCTTGTGTTGATGTTAATTACAGGACACATTTTTCCCCCAACCTTTCCATTTTTGTTTCTATGTATCATTACTTGTGGAGTTGCTTACAGTTGTTGACTCTTGCTTCAAGATTCATCCTGTTGATGTCATTTGGTTGATCTATTACTCAAGATTTTTAGTTAGGTATGATTTTTCCACATTACAATTTGGTAATTGCCCATTGATTTGTAGGTTTTTGGAAACTTGCCACTATGGATTTGCTCATTTTGGGGGTCTTCTGGCTTTCTTTTGTGGTTCACTCTTTACCTTTCATGTATAGGTTTTATATATGTACATATTTTCATGATGACAGTTATACTTTTTTTTTTAATCATTGCAAGGGTACTTCCTATAGGTCTGTTGAAGAACTCCTCCACTTTCTGGTCATTTGAGAAGAATGATTCAACTTTAGAGCCTTTGCTGCCGTACTGGCTAATTTCTCTAGCAATGTAGACTTAACATGTAAGCCACTGGCCTGTGAAGCAGGGTCTCCTCGTTGCCATCGACTGCATTCACAATATCACTACTTCCAGTGTAGGATGAGATCATGAGCTTAACGATGTCAGTGGCTCCCTGGGTTGCAGCAAAATGGAGGGCCATGCATTTGGCATTCTGCAAACAGTATTGATGTTAGCATTAGTGGTAAAATCCCAGCGTAAAGATTTGATACGTATAAATTCAGCAGTTAGTTCTTCCCAGAGCTAGGGATGTCAAAGCTGTGAATTGCACTGTTTGATCTACAAAAATCATGAGTATGTAGACCTTTCTAACAAGTGCATTCCCAAACAACCCAAGTGCCCTTTACCTACACGCGAACACCATTTGAACTACCATTTTTGCTCAGAGGATGAGTCCTTTTCACTACTGAAGCAGCTGAATGAAATGACTTCATAAGAGTAGGGTCACTTCCATTTCACAGAATTTGGAAGCAATAAGAAGCTTCACGTGATTAATAACCAAAAAATAGGCAATTTCTGTCTTCTCTAGAAAGGAAAGACCTTCCCTAGACCACTATAGGGAAAAGACCCTGACGTCTATGTTCCTCGTCAGGTCAGGACCCAGGCTCAGCCAAAACACTTACATATATATCCTTACAAGTAAATTAGGTGATGCTTAGTTAGAAGCTACAAGTCTATAAAGACCAGTGCTGTAACCCAAGGCATTCACAAGTGGACTTTAGTGTTCCTTACTGGAAATATTAATACTATTATCCTTGAGGTTAAGCCTTACTATAACTTAGGGCAGTTAAGTAAGATATGTTCATTAATGCAATCTACTTTGTCACTTGATTTGGAATATTAAAATTTATAAAATTAGAGAATATTTTCTTTGGCATGGGACAGAGGAATAACATTCCTTTGTGCCATATGCATTTCCAGATTTACCTGAACATAAAAGAACCACCACCACCACCAACAAAAACCATCTGAGAAACAAAGTGTGGAAATTCTCAAATCAGAGTGACCCATAGACAGAACACTTGCCTCCTTCATGTCGATATGTGCGCCGTTGTCCAGGCACATTTTGATCATGTCCAAGTCACCACTTTGAACTGCGAGGTGGAGTGGGCTGATTTTCTTATGATTCACAAAGTTAATATGATACTCCCGGGTGTAGCCAGTTTTTTCACCTTTAGAAGAAAGTACCATTTAAGATGAAAATAAATGAGTTTTAAAAAGAAAGAACACATATAACTATACACAAAGGCCCATACGTAAATGCTACTATTTTTTCAGATGAAGGGTATCTGGTATCTAAAGTTTCTTAACTATGTAGAATGTAGAAAGCATCAACTCACCGTAGTCTAATATCAATTCCATGCATTTTTTGGCCCCTGAAAATGCAGCTTGGTGAACAGGGTAATCTCCCCATTTATTTGATTTACACAACTTAGCTCCTTTTTCTAGCTGGAGAAAGAGGGGGGGGGAATCAGTTACATAAGTTAAGTGACAAAGGTAGATGAGAATTTCTGTGCTTCTAGCATCCCAATGCCTTCTCCAGGGCTTGTGGGAAAACATGTGGAAAGTATTGGAGGATATGCAGTCTAAGCAAGACAGTCACTTCAGAGCTGGGATAAGACAATGGAGACACAGCACATCTTATCGAGATGAAGATATTCCGTGATGCACACGAATCTACCTCGATCCCCCAACAAACTCAACACATTTTTCTTCCAATTTCATTTGAAATATTTAATTTTAAAACAAAAGCTATTTGAGCCATATAAATATTTTAGATTTTACAATAGATGCTTACAGCCCTCAGAAGTACCAGGTGTGATAAAGAAGAACATTTAGATACCATCACTTAGGGAAAAGTCTGAAGCTCATATTAAAATTTCAGAGGCTGGGGAGCCCTGACATTCTTTCACTTCCTGCAATATTTTGTTCTTAGTACCCGATATTCAAATAAAAGCAAAATAGTCACACATATGAGCATATGTAACCATTGGCAGTTTTTTACATCTCCTCTTATTTCTTAAGAGTAGGCAAGCAACTCAGAAATGGTTGAAAAAGCTATTTGGTGAAATTCCAGAAGTGCCCTCACTACCAAGAACAGAAGCCATCCCTGAGCCAGCTAGCACCAGTGTCTTGGAGTATCAAACATGGGTGGGTTTCCAGAGAGATGGCTTTCCTTCTGGATTCAGACCTGTGGCTTAGGACAGCTAATCAGTGCAGGACTCTGTCGTAGAGAAACCACAACAATCTTGTGGATGGAAATGGAGCCTTTCTTTTCCTCTTGAATCTTTTTTAAAATTTATTTCTCATTTATTACAATTTATTCACTTTGTATCCCAGTTGTAGCCCCTTCCATTGTCCCCTCCCAACCCCGCTCTCCCTCCCTCTTCTCCTCCATGCCCCTCCCCAAGTTCACTGATTTGGAGGTCCTCCTCCCCTTCCCTCTGACCCTAGCCTATTAGGTCACATCAGGACTGGCTGTTGTGTCCGGGTAAGGCTGACCTCACTCAGGGGGAGGTGATCAAAGAGCAGGCCACTGAGCTGAGTTCATGTCAGAGACAGTCCCTGTTCCCCTTACTAGGAAACCCACTTGGAGTCTGAGCTGCCATGGGCTACATCTGTGCAGGGGTTCTAGGTTAGCTCCATGCATGGTCCTTGGTTGGAGTATCAGTCTCAGAAAAGACCCCTGGGCCCAGATTTTTTGGTTCTGTTGCTCTCCTTAATCTTAGAAGTCAAATAACTCAGTAACTGACTGTGTTTGCTTTCTTCTCTTTGGCTACTTGAAAGCTCAGAATTAAATGGCTTAATTTAATTTTTTTTATGCATATGGGTGTTTTATCTGTATGCATGTCTGAGAACCATGTGTGTGCCTGGTGCCCACAGAGACTAGAAGAGGGCATAAGCTCTTTTAGAATTACAGATGCTTGTAATCCACCCTGTGGGAATGGGAGCAACCCTCTGTTCTCTGGAAGAACAGCCAGTGCTCTTAGCCACTGAGCCGGCTCGTCGGCTCCAGATTTAAATGGTTTTAATGTCATACAGGTTGTTGTATTTTGGTTTTATATACTGCTAGATTCATCTTACTACCTGCCAATCTCTTCTTTTTCCCTTGATTTTCATTCCATGTGTTTTCCTTCATGCTTCCTTTTTAGTCTTCTGTGTGCAATCTAGGGTCCACACTGAATCCTAGGAGTATGTCCACATGAAAGCACAAAGATCTAAGTTCCTTAGACCTGTTTTCTATAGTTCACATTTTTCAAAGGAGATACTATGAAGGACATCTTAAATAACAGTTTGCGTCCAATTCACAGAAAGAAAGCAACAGAAGGGGATTAGGTTACAAACCAAAATTTGCAATGCTTCACTGTTGTCTTTGGCACATGTGGACATCACAGCTGTGTTCCCATTCTCGCTTTCTAAATTGATGTTAGTGGCACTGTGCTCAGTCAAGACCTGTACAGAATGAAAAAAATAATTGTTAAAAAGCTATTCTACTGATTTTCAAATAATGATATGTCTCCCGGGAGACTTGGTAGCCAACACCATGTCTGACTGCTCTTTTCCAATTCCTCATCCAAACATTATCTCATAAAACTTTATACAAGTAGATGTCAAATGAATGAATCAAATAGAGAACGCTTCTAATGCCAATAATCAGTGGAATTTAAAATTGTATATTTGGAAACAGAACCACAATGGTGATTTTACTGAAAAGTCAGTACTTTCAAGGATTTACTAGCTAACATCTTCAGAAATAAATTTGTGGATACATGCAAAATATGTGCACAGAGGGAAGGGAGGAAGATAGGAAAGATGTGGGAAAAGGAAGAGAGAAAGGGAGAAGGGGAATGGCCTCTTTCTACCTACAGTTAGGCAGAATGCAGGCAAAAACTGTAAGAAATGCCAACGACAATCCTATTCTCTTTAGCAGAAAAGCTGGCTTTGTGTAGACCTATCTCTGATATAAATTAATTCAAGCTTGGTCTAGAATAGAAGAAATTAGTATTCTGATTAAATGTCAATTAATGATTCTCATGAAATTTAAGCAAAAATTTGTTATGCCTTCACCAGTAACCATCAGCTCATTAAAGGCCCAGGCTTCTGTCCTTTAACCAGGATGTCTCACATAAAAGTGAACAATATTTATCTTTTGTGAGCATTAAGATCACTCGCCCTCCCTATCCCCCAAGCTACTCCACATTGGGTAAAGTAGTGTTATTGTTGTTTTTCACACGGTGCCTTGCTTTGGGAGTCTCCAATTTACAAGAAATCCCCCCCTTTTGAGAGAAAAAGATGACCATAGCCCCTGGTTGGGCATACAAGCTAGTCCAGCTGTCCAGAACCATCCGTCCACCACAGACTGATAGATTATTGTAGAATAATTATTTTAGAATCTGGGAGTAGAAAAGATGATGGCCTTGTCATGGTGAATTCAGACTGTAGGCATATATGAGTATATTAAATCACATCAGTGAAGTCCTGCCCCAGGAGTTATCTGATACCTCAAAGAGACCAAGGAGAGGATCTAGTTCCTTTTCCAGGACCTCCTGTAGTGATGGACACCTAACATTACAATAGCATGTCCCACCCCGCCATATCACCTGATATCTGGCAAGCATCTAGAACTGACAAGCAGAGGATTCCCAACCACCCCTCAGGCTTCAGCATGGCTTGGCCCCCCCTGCCGATGCTGTCTCCTTGCCTTCATGGATGTCCACCTTTTTGCCTATCTGGGCCTAAGTCTGAACTTGCCATTTCCTGTCCTAAGGCTTAGCCTTTCACCTGGCAGTTTCACAAACACTGATTTAACAACAGCTCCTCCTAGGACTGGCCTGGTTCGAACATTATCTTATTCAGACAGATGTTCTCTCTGTGTGTCTGTCTCTCCATGTCTCTCTGTCTCTGTCTTTCTTTTTCTTTCTCCACACATAGACACACATACACAAATACACACACAGATTCAAAGCCTCCTGCAGCCTGTTGCCTCTTTAACTTGTATTCATTTTATAATAGGTAATGACAATATATATGCATATATAGTTACTATATACTGTATGATGTTAGAGTTAATAATGGTAAGCAAGATTCAAGTAAAATAACTGACCTGCGCCTGAGCCAGTGGGTGAGGTTATCTGACAAACTGCTTCTTGTGCATATGATACTACAATAAAACTCAACACGGACTTAGAGTCTTTTTTCAGTACTGGTAACCAAACATATTGTCTCATACTTGTTGGGCAATGTTCAAGCATGGAGTCATTTTTCAGCATTATTTGTAGATTTATTGTCAATATTGGAACAGGCATTCGTTGCCCAGAATTTCATTTACTTTTTAATGTAAAGGAAAGACTTGAATTTATGTCAAATTATGTCCTTCTTTGTTAGCCTCTGTGCAGCTGAATTACAAACCTTCAGTACTGCCTTAGCAGGTAAATTAGGTTTGTTATTGTTGTTTGTGTATTTGGTAATGATCATCCACCCAGCTGTTTCCTAAAATCCTAGACTTATTAGAAATAACAACTTCCTAGCAGAGCCTCTTCCCAACAGAATGTGTTCCAACAACAGATGAATTAGGCTTCCTAGTGAGTTCTGTTCATAGAAAAAAAAGAAAAAAAAAACTTGAGCTGAAGTTTACTACATAAAGACAAACAGGGAGACTTTGTAGGTGAAGAGAAGTTAGAAGCAAAAGATAACTCCACAGACCTCAGGCACCCTCAGGTTCTACTCTTCAAATCCAGATTCACATGCACAAGAACCCACAAAGGTCCCTTATCCTTGGAACCACAGAGCACAGAATTACTTGTACTGTCATAAGCATAATCTGTCAAATGGCTGAGTTAAATTCTAGGTGGCAGTGGTCACAGCGAAAGAACCAGACTGAGTACCTACTTCAGTTCAGTCATGCCCAGGCATGCCCAGAGGCTCTCTAGGACTCTCCAGGGCCCTTTGATAAGAATCCAGGAATTCTAAGGAAAGGCTCAGGCAACTGAGCCAGCTTAAGCCTCAAGGACAAAGGCCATCAAGAAACAAGGCCATGCCCTAGCCCTTCAGTGAATGGTCCCCACAGACTACCGTCTATGTAAGAACTTGTGGTGATTCATAGATGACTGGTTCTTTTTAAACTTTATAACCGTACAGATAATGATGGGTATTCTAGAGGAAGGCTGATAAATCAAACAATTTGAACTGGGAAAGGTTGAATATACAGGTTAACTATGGGCATGGCTAGAGAGGTCAGCTGGAACAGAAATGTCATCCATAAGCAAACCTCCTTCTCTTCCTCCTATTGTCATGATGGAGGAGTTCAAGAACACGTTAAACATGGTTGTGGTTTGTAAAATAAATACCATGAGGCAGATACAATTTAGCTCGTTCACACCCTAGCTTTCTTCTTGGTTTTGTGGTGCTCAAGACAACTAGTTTTTTATTGTCAATTTTTGCTTTTGTTACCCATTGGTTTAACAAAATTATTTATGGGCTTTATTTCTAAACTTCTATTTCTATGGTCTGAAGAGTTTTCTAATTAACTCTAGTTTTTCAACTACTACCTGCCTACGAATTCCCAAAACGTGCTTTTAGAGCTAAAATAAATGAAGTTAATGACTGTTTATTGACGAAAAGAGCCTTGAGAGAAAGCAGGAGGGCTCCCCGGGGAAATATAAGACACCAGTGAGCTTTGGCTGCAATCACTAATGACCCACCCTAATGGAAGCAGCGCCAGCCTGGTGGATGATGCCAGCATTAGGAAGAAGGCAAACAGCTTGTTTGCATGAACCTTTTCCAACACCTTCTTGGGCCTGTCCTCTCCAGTCTTCACAGCTACCAATTCTTCAGCCACCTTTTTTTTGTTTTTCTTTATCATTTTTTTCTTTTTTTTATTTAACTTTTATTAATTACACTTTATTCATTTTGTATCCCCCCATAATCCCCTCCCTCCTCCCCTCCCGGCCCCACCCTCCCCCCTCTTTTCTGCATGCATGCCCCTCCCCATGTCCACTGATTGGGGAGGTCCTCCTCTCCTTCTTTCTGATCTTAGTCTATCAGTTCTCATCAGAAGTGGCTGCATTGTCAGGGTTCTAGGTTATCTCCACGAATAGTCCTTGGTTGGAGTATGAGTCTCTGGGAAATTCCCTGTGTTCAAATTTTCTTGTTCTGTTGCTCTCCTTGTGGAGTTCCTGTCCTTTCCAGCTCTTACTATTTCCCACTTCTTACATAATATTCCACCTTTTAAGCTCATGCATTGTCCCACTTCATTCAAACAACCACCATGTATCTGGACACTGTCAAGAACTACAATTTTGTTCAGGGAAACACAACGTTGTGTCTCCTTCAGAGATGACTAGCTAGCCGGGAAGTGCACACAACACTTAATGATGGTGTGTCACGTCATAAAAGTTAGGGCAAACTTCAAAACCAAAGCACAGTGGAAAAGATGAAAGAGGCTCCCTGTCTTCTCTGAATTTGCTAGAATTCAGACCTTTCCAAGAGCTGAGGAGAAACTTTTTTTGTAACAAAGGGACCTTGGAACTCTCTTTAATGGCTTATTGACAATGGGCTTGGGTGAGAGTTAGCACAGTAGCTAAAAAAATATCAGTTCCACAGGAAAACCTACTGTGAAGTTCCAAATAGCATAACTTCAAAATGACCTTCTAGAACACACTGGTTCTCAATATTATTAATGTCATGACCCTTTAATATAGTTCCTCATGTCGTGGTGAACCCAAACCATAAAAATATTTTGTTGCTTCCTCACAATTGTAATTTTGCTACTGTTGTGAATTACACTGTAAAGATTTGGAATGTAGGATATATGATATGTCAACCCTGTGAAAGGTTGGACCCCGTGGGGGTTGCAACCCACCAGTTGAGAATCAGTGTTTTAGAACATAATTTATCTGAAAACGGCATTCCCCTTTGGGGAAGCAGATATGCTTTCCAATGTGTCTGTGAACCTGTGAGGTGTGGTCAAAAGCTATGGTTTCCAAGCCTAGGAGAAGAAGAAGGAGGAGGAGGAGGAGGAGGAGGAGGAGGAGGAGGAGGAGGAGGAGGAAGAAGAAGAAGAAGAAGAAGAAGAAGAAGAAGAAGAAGAAGAAGA